ACTTCGTGATTATTGGGAAAATAATAATACTAAATACTATCAACTCAAAACTCTTTATTTACATTGAAAAAAAACAAACATTTTGCCATGTCTCAGTTATATGCGTAATTCAACTTAAAGTAACATCAATGTGACTTCTGTTGTTGCAGATTAGATGACCAATAACTTATATTAGGTTGTAAGATGTTAGTTTAAGCAGGACTGTTAATTTTTTTTGCTAGTTATTTATTGTTAGCTTGTTTTTTATGGTTATTAATTGGTTTTTTTTAGCATTGATTGTTAATTTTTTATTAATAATTGTTTATTATTTTGTGTATTTTTGTGAGTTTTAATTTAATTGTTACATATGCTTCATAGTGTAATACCATTTGTGTAATAACAAATGTGATCGGTGGCGTGCCCGAAATATTGCATCGGGTGCCATTGGTTCGCCATCCCTGTACTAGTGAATTGGAATTGTATTTTTGCAGTGGTAGACACACTACAAGTTGATCAACGAGAAAAGAAATAGATTTTTTTTATGAGATACATTAATTATACTAAATGTTGTCCAATACACTGGATGTTGCGTTTTAGGAGATTAATCAGTATTGTTAAAATTTCGAATTGCATCAATTTGTCACGATACGTAATGTCAGACATGCAGTGTTAGATTTAAGAACATTTTTTTTAAACTCTTTGGAAAATCTCAGACTGGTAGAGCGTGTGATAGTTTGATTACATCCTACTTTGTAGCATCGTAACTTTAACCAAAAACGGAAGTCACTCGAAGTAAAATAACATGCTTTACTAAGTTTCGCAATTTGTCAATTAAAAAGAAAATGGAGTATCAGTATATCTTTTCCTTATGACTGAACTTTTAAAAAAAAAGATTTAATTCTCTTCCTATTCACCTTTTAACTTTTCTAGTTTAATCACTGTGGTGCATCATTTTAGAAACTAGAAAATGCGCAAAACTTTAACTCTGTATTCAGTTTTAATGTAAAAAAATTATTTCGGAAATAATATTTTCATTACTTTTTAATTAACGTTAATAAATTAATTTATCGTTTTTTCTGACTTGATCTTTGAACATTAGTTTCTTAACTAACCTGATAGCTAATACTTCCTCCTATTTTAAGGTTTGGGTAATTATATATTTGAATTTTAAACTGCAATAATTTTTTTAATATTTTGGCTGTAAATGATATTGTTTTCAACGATAGGACTTTCATTTATTTGAAGTGAAATTCTATCAATGTTACTTTGGAATGACCGGCCTGTGTAGGGGTTAGGGAACTGCCCTTGCATCAGAAAGGTTCTGGGTTCGAATCCCGGGCAAGGCATGGATGTTCTTTCCTTCTCTGCACTATCTGTCCTTACTGTGGGAGCAGCGTTAGCCCGCCTAATATGGTGCCCCTGAAAGAGTGGCCAACAAATCTGCCCATTGATCTCCAGGTGGGTTCTAAAAGGTGGGCATTAAAAAAAAATTGGAATGAACAAGACATACCTGTTTTTTAGTTAAATCCTCGTACTTGAAGCTATTCCATTTTTTGTTTTGTTAATTATATTTTATAACAGCCGTTGAAAAGCTGTCCCAAATTTGAGTTTACTGCTACCAACTGTTCAACTCTGTAACCTTGTAATTTTGAACCTAATCCGAAGACAAAGGAACTCCTGGATCAAGTATTGGGAAAAATTTGCCTTCATGGGGGACTTTACGGTGAAACTAACTTGCTTTTGTGCTACATGCTGAGAAAAACCACGAAAACGTCCCTCGGTTAGTCTGACGGCAAGGGAACTCTAACCCATGATCCCATTATCCTTATTGCTATTGATAACCCATCCAAGGTTTATTGATAACCCATTATCCTTATTGTTATTGTGCTATAATTTCTAATATATAATTTCTAATTTCTATATGCAATTAATAATCCATAATTTATTTAATATTTCGGTAATTTACATGAACTTATTCATATAAAATGCCAATGAAAAAAAAAGAAACAAAACCATGTATTGAATAAATTATGTAAAGGATATGCATTTACAAAAAAATCAATAAGTAATTCTAGTCAAGTTTTAAAATTCAAAATAAAATAACTAAATTGATAAATGAGGAATTATGGTTCTCCAGTAGCAACTATTTTCAGCGTTTATAACAGTTCTTTTATGAAGACCATAATTCAGTTAGTTTTTTTCAATTTCAGAGCATATATACATTATTATTTATATACATACACCGAAGAGCCATTTCATTATGACCACCCTCCATCTATAACAATGGGCTCGCCCAGGTTTTCACGGTTTTTCGCCCAGGAACAATGTTTTCATGGGGCACATTAGGACCCATAATCCTCACAGAACAATCCCTGACGTCTGTAAGCTACTTGAACATAGTTACAGACCAGGTTTATCCATTCCTGCGGGGGATGGTGTTTACCAACAGGATAATGACCCATGTCATATGGGTCGAATCGTCGAGGAACATTCCAGTGACTTTCAAGTCATGTCTTGGCCCCCAAATTCACCTGACCTTAATCCAATAGAGCATTTGTGGTCCTACTTGGAAACCAAATTCGTTCTGCCATGATCCGTCTGTTACTGATGATATTTTGCGTCGGCACTGTGGTCCGTACGAGCTGGGTGCGGAATTCGTATCGGTCAGCCATCACTGAGATTCGAACCCGTTTACCACTTTTGAAGGCGAATGCTCTATCTACTGAGCCACCACGACTCAGGCTATACCATTAACGAGTATGGCGAAGTGGGATCGATAATGGACTACACGAATTGTTTCTCTATTCATATTGAAAAAAATCGTAAGAGCCGCTGCCACAATCATTGTTTTAAGTGTTCAACGCTACATTATATTTTACGTTACTGGGCAAAAACTTAGAAACCTAGATGGTGCGTAGAAAAATGCACAGGGAGTACGATGGAATAAAAAAATTATCATTCAGATATTAGAGTTCATATCGACCAACCATTAAGGGGATTCGAACCTGGGTCACCTCATTGGGAGGCTACGGTCTATTCCCTGATCCACCACGACTTATGCTTAATTTATATTGGTGACAGCAACTAGTAACTGATATGATAAGATTGTTACCTAAAATAGATGCTGTAGTAATAGTTTTTCCACATCACAAGTACTATAATTTCTAATAAATAATCAATTTTCATAAATTGTAGACTTAATAGGTTTAAGTAGAAATGTTTGATTAAAATAAAAAATACAGAAAATTTGAAGAGTTTGAATTGTAGTATTTATTTCGCTTAAGTTGATCCTTATTGTTTCAAGTATATCAGTATCTTAAACCGTGTGTTAGAATTCAAAGCTAGTCTATTTAAACTGCCTTATTTATTATTTTGAAACAATTTTTTTTTATTTGAATGCTAATCGTGTTTTTCAAAAAATATTCCTTAAATTATTTTTTGAACTATTTTAAAAGTTGTATCTTTTACGTTACACTTCTTTTTTTGTTATTTTTATGCTTGATATGAACCTGTAGATTTTTATAAATGTTTTAATGTAGATTTCTGTAAAAAAAAAATTTATAAACTGATCAAAAAATCAATCAAATTTTAACACCATATATAGAGTAAATAATTTTAAATAGCCTAGAAAAAAATGGTTATATGTTCTCTGAAAAATATTAAGGGGCTGGTAAAGTTCAAGCAAGAAGATTAAAAGTTTAAATGTTTGTAGCAACTCCATATACTTCTGTTAATACTTTGCAATAACTTAAAATGCAAAAAAGAAGAAGAAAAAGGTTTTAAGGAGAAGTCACTAACTATTTATAATGAATAAATGAATTTTTTTAAAAAATTAACTTTTAAATTGAATATCAAAGAACAAAAAAATTTTAATTTTTATTCATTTCGCTTATATATTATGTTATTGTGTTATATTTATTTTATTCATTTATTAATTAGATTAAAAGTATATTTGAGACCGGTATAGTCTGGTTGAGTGAGCATTAGGCCTATCCAAGAGGTCGTGAGTTCGATACCAGCAGGTCGAAGACTCTCCGCTTACAAAATGGTGACTGTTGCACGTTAAATCTGCCGAGGTCACAAAGTCCTTCAAGTTCCCATAACAAATCAATACCTCTGGGGTTACTGAATCAAAGATTAATCGTGCTCTGGTTCAGGTCAAAATTACGATTTGCGGATGAATGGTGTGTGAATGTGTCCTCCCAGTGAAACGGGCTGTGACATGTGTGTGGCAGAGGTCAAATTCTTGACAATAGATGGTGCCACCGGAAAACAAGAAGAAGCACATCCTCCTTACCTTAATGGCATACGACAACAAGAAGATTAGATTTTATTTATTTTATTTATTTATTTATTGCGTTATATTTATTTGATTTATTTATTTGTATACATTTCTGGGGCATAAAGATGGTTTTGTTTTAGCATGATTGAAAGCTTTCGAAAATACTTATTTATGCACTTGGATATTTTATTCTAAAGCACACTTATTCATAGAGAGGGTAATTTCCCCACATTTTGTATACCATGTTTGTAGACCATTTTCTTATTCAATTCCGATTATCTGATTCTCAATTATATAGCAATTCGATTATCCGATATCCCTTCCAATGCTCGTTAAAAACATTCCAACACACTTTTTATCATTATTACAGATTTTACCCAATGACTGTTCTGACGTCTGATCTAAAATCTGGCAGCTAGAAAACGATAGTTAAAATGAAAATAGAACAGTATCTATGATTTTTTTGCATGATATTGTAATGATTAAAACACACTATAAGTATTTTATTTAACATGGCTATTACTTATTTTGAATACTTTTGCTCATATTATGATGATTATATGCTAAAAAAATAGACCTAAAATTTAAAAATTTAAATTTTCCAACAATTTTTTTGTTCTTTTAGGGTGTCAGATGACTATATTTTGAACCATATATATTCTAATATATATGGTTAGACTCATGTAACGTATTATTTTTTTCTAATAAATATTAATAAATATAAAATAATGTAACTTACTCTTTATAGCCCAGCTTTTCAATTTCCTTATTCCATTCACTAACTGTAAGAGGCCACCATTACATTGAGAGGATATATTTAACTGACTCTGAACTCGCAAAATTAAAGGTAAGGCTTTTTTCATGATTGTATCTGTATACAAACGGAACGTCTTTTCTAATTCCATCCATTTATCTTCTAAAGAAGCATTGAGTGTTTTTCCATTCGGAAAAGTTGGTGTTGAATCTGAAAAAATTTCCATGTTCTCTTTAGTTTGAGGCCTCCGATTACTTGGCACCGTTGTGATTTTAGAACTTTTTTTATTATTAACACTAAACTCAGAAGATTCCGTCAGTAATAGCGTACCATCTGGAGTTATTCTCAACGGAAGTCCAGATGTTGAGTTTTTTTCTGTTGCCAATTTGTGTAGTTTGGTGATTTTAAGACCATGGGTCAATGTTGCATTTAAATCTTTTTTGTTTTCAGTCCAATTTCCATTCTCAATTCCTCTGCTTTGGTCACTATCAGGCGTTGTTTGTATCAAGTTTGGGCTAAAATCTTCTTTAAAAGTTGAGTTTGAGTCGGATTTTATGTCCACATTTTCATTAGAATAATTTAGCTTTATTCTAATATCTTTAGCCTGACCTTTTTCTAGGTTGCTATTTATAATATTTTCCGCACTTAAGGTATCAGGAATACCCTTACTATCCAGGGGTGCTTCAACTTTTTTAACTGTTAAATTATCACTCAGCGAAGAACTCTCTAAGTTTTCCACTGCAAAAATATCCTCATTATCCAAAGGAAAGGATATTTTTTTAACTGTTAAAATATCTGTTGTATCCTGAGGAAAACCTTGACCTTCACTTGATTCAATGATTCTGAATCCGCTAGTCAAATATACCAGGAAAAATACTAGCAAGTACAAAGCGACCGGCGGAATTCCGTTAGACATGCTGCCTGTTGGGGATTTTACATTATCAATGAAAGCGAATCTGTTTGAAGAAAATGAGGACAATTATTACCTGACTGAAAGTTTAAAAGGTAAGTTTCCGGCTGCAAAACCAGTCGCCAAATTTACCGCCAAAACGACTTTCTAAACAGTTCATTGAAGAATGTTAATCAGTAAAAGGAATCTTCCCTCGAAATTCGAATCAAGTCAAAAGGAGGCAGCTATTGTAATAGTGGTTTTACAATGCATTATTTGCTTTATAAATTATTGCTGTTGACGTAAATATTGCAATGAAGCGTGCAATAAACACTGGAGTTAAGGAAGTAGATAAATTAGATAATTCAAAGAAACTCAACGAATGATTAACGTATTGTTTTTTTCTTTTGTTTAATTACTATTATGTTCTTTAATCTTATATATATGGTTTTATTGTATAGGAACAAATTGTTAATAAATTATAAATTAATTGTTATAAATTAATTGTTATAAATTAATTGTTATAAATTAATTGTTATAAATTAATTATAAATTATATTCGAATTAATTATTTTATTTTAGAGGAGAAAATATTCTGAAATATTTAATTTTATCAAAATATTTTAATCATATATGACATAATTTTATTCTAAAAGGATAATTATCTGTTGATATTGTATACTTCATGTTGTTATACATGTCTGAGGGTAAGTTTAATACTCCGAATAATACTCCGAATTTAAGTGTCATTTAATATTTAGAAAGTACGAATTACATGTTGTTTTATTTAATTACAATTGGCGGTTAAAGTACTTTTCTTAATTCTCAAATATACTTACAAAAACAAAGTAAGAATGTTAAATTATCCATCATTTTAGAGGGCATTTAAAATTTTGACATAATTTTTAAAAGAAAAAACTAACAAGTTAACTAATTCGATGTTAAATATTGCATAATATTAAGAAAATTAAAAAAGGATGAAGCAATAATTATTTAAATTATAATTAGAATTTCAATCCATATTTTTAATTCTGTAATTTAATATTATTTCTTATACTTCTTTACATTTCTTATAATTGTTTATAAACTTTAATAGAGATAAAGTTAATAATCCTTCTAATTTAAGTGTCACGATAATATTTAGTACGAAGGAAAATACGAATTACACGTTTTTTTTAATTACAATAGGTGTTTAAAATATTTTTTTTTTGAGTTCTCAAAATTTTTGCAAAAAGCGTAGTAGGAAGGTAAAATTAACCATCACTTTAGAGGACATTCAGAAATCGTGACATAAATTTGACAAAAATCAATAGGCAACTCGATGTTAAATATCACACAATATTAAAAATAATAATAAATACTGGAACAATATATATTTTAATTATAATCAAAATTCCAATAAATATCTTAATTCTGTAATTTAATATTATTTCTTATACTTCTTTATGAGTTTTAATATAGATAAATTTAATTATGCTTCTAATTTAGGTGTCACTCAATATTCAGAAAGAACATGAATTACATATTGTTTAAAAAATTACAATTTGTACTTACAGTACTTTTTTTTTTAATTCTCAAATTTTTCCTGTAAAAAGTTGTATTGTGAAATTAAACCATCATTTTAGAGGAGGCAGTTCAAGATCTTGACGTCATTTTTAAAAGAAACAAACTATCAGATAACTTTATGTTAAATATCACACAATATTAATAACAATAAAAAATACTACAGCAATAATTGTTTTAATTATAATTAGAATTCCAATGAATATTTTTATTCTGTAATTTACCTAATAAATATAAAAGTAATAGTTAAGTAAGTTATAATAAGTTAACTTGAAATATTTTAATTCATAAAGTATTGTTGTTTAGTAATTTAGATGAATAATATTGAAAAGTAAATAATTTGCTTAAAAAGTGTTCAACATTCGCTGCGGTAAAAAAGGGAATAATTAACTGACTAATTCCTTTCGCATTTATTTGGATAATATTTTTATTTAATTTGTGCGAATCACAGACATTAAAATTTAAAAAACCGGAATAAGTGTTTCTTATCACAGATTATTCGTTACTTTTATCAAGTTAATGTATTAAGCAAGATTCTTTCTCATGTTAAGAAAGTTCATTAATTCTCAAGATTTGCCAAATGTGTCACATTACTATCTGCAACAAACACGTGTAATCAAACTGTTATTTTCCAAAATCAAACAAGCGATATATTTTTGTGAGGAATGTTCATTAGGTAAATGCAATTTTTTTATATAAAGAAAGAGGCCAAGGTATAGCCTCTTGTCCTATAAAAAAAGGGAGCGTGAGGGACTAATAATAATAGAGTAATATCTGCCATTATTTGTCAGGGATACTTATACGAATTTTTTAGTGTAATTTACAAAGGGCTATCAAAATATTTTTTTATTAGAATACTTAAAAAAACAATGGCGTCTACCTCAATAATATTAAGATTTGCATCGTCGTACCACAAATATAGTGCGAAAGGGAAAAATCTTACCGATTTTAACGATAACACCTTATACTTACTATACAAGTTCTGTTGTTTTAATTTGTCTTGGTTACCACTAAGGCTTTTTATGAATTTGCAAAAATAAAAACATTATAATTATTTGTAGCCAGTAATATCTTCAGTAGTCTTCATGTGACGAACCTATGACCTCCTTTGTATAGATAATTTTAATATAAATTTAAGTGGATCCATTATGAAATTTGTCATTTAGCATCTCATGTATATATATATGTATATATGTATATATGTATATATATATAAATTATTCTTTAATTTAAACTTTACTCATAATAAAAAAAAAGCATTATAATTTTTATTGTATCATTTCTAATATTTGTCGACACACAAAAGTGCCGCGGCACAGTGGTTGAGAATCACTGAAGTAGCCATAGCTACTATATATTCTNATATATATTTATATATATATATATATATATATATGTGTGTGTGTGTGTAATGTTATGCCTTTAAAGGCTAGATAATTGAAGAGACTTAATACATTTAAAAAGGCATTTATTGAGGGTGTTCGTTGGCTATGTACAATGATGGTTTCCCAGTTTTTCAGGGATGTTTGGATTTGACCCAGATTTATCTAGACATGAAGAATATAAAAAAGACACGCATTTTTGGCTATCCCGAAATTTTAAAGGGAGGTTCTGAGAGGGAGTGGTTGCAAGGATCTTCTTATCTTCATGAAACGTCATTCAATTGATAAAATGCAGAGATTTTGATTCGCTAAAAGGATAGATAGAGGAAGGCTAAAAGGAAGGATAGATAGATAGAGATCGCTAAAAGGATAGCGCCGTTCTGGTTCTGGGAAATTTTTGGGACTATCTTAATGTGTACTTCATCGTCGAATTATTGTCCATTAACTTCAGAAAATAATCATTTATCTGGCCTTATCTGGTTCATCTTGACTTTTTATGGCTCTTTGTGAGCAACTTCTGCATCTTAAACTTGATAAGAAACATATGTTTTAAGCTTATCAGTTAATATAGAAAGACTCGCATGAGAAATTCTATATTACATATAACCTTCTTTTAAGCGCTTCAGAACTTCTAAGAGGGGTAGGGGGCATCCTGACGACTCGAAATCATATAGCAATGTGGGGTCGGAAATGCTTTCCTGAAGCGGTGACGTACACAGAAGCACCATAAAGAAAAGAGACCGTAAGTGAAAAATCGTTTTAATAATACATTGAAAAAATTATATGACCTCCTCGGTCACCCGACCTATCATGTCTTGATTTCTGGGGTCATATGAAAACACTGGTTTATGACACCCCTGCTGACAATGCTGAGGAGCTGGTTGCAAGAATCGCAGTAGCTGCCGGAGAAATTCAAGATATGCCTGGAGTATTGCATAATGTTTGGATGTTCATACACCAGAGATGTGAAGTGTGCATTGTAGCCGGCGGCAGAAACTTCGAACACTTAGTTTGACCCATGTGCCTTATGATTTTTTCAATGTATTATTAAAACGATTTTTCACTTACGGTCTCTTTTCTTTATGGTGCTTCTGTGTACGTCACCGCTTCAGGAAAGCATTTCCGACCCCACATTGCTATATGATTTCGAGTCGTCAGGATGCCCCCTACCCCTCTTAGAAGTTCTGAAATGCTTAGCTGAGACACCCTGTATATATAATCTTTTAAAAATATAATAGATAAATATTTTCTTCATCTATAACAGTGTATTTATTGAGCTAAAATTCATAATCAGTAATTTTATTTTTATCAGGAAATAAAAGAAATTTCTGTATAATAAGATGAAGTGATTATTTTAAGATGGTAGTGAAAGAACAAGTGGTATGGTGGTGAGTGGCGATACAAAATATCGTATTAAGAGGATTATGATATTGATGCAACTGATCATGTTGAGATGATTATGATATTGATGCAGCAGATCATATTGAGGTAATTGTTAAATTGATGCAACAAGTCATATTGAAATGATTGTGATATTGATGCAACAAACCAGATTGAGATGATTATGATATTGACGTAACAGATGAGATGATTGCGATATTGATACAACAGATAATATTATACAGATAATACAGTAAAGCAAATAATATTTGAGTGATGGCAATACGCAAACAATATGTAAAGAAGGATTATATTGAAACAACTGATCATATTAAGGGATGCTGAATGTAGGTTGGGGCATTTCAAAAATGGACGGGACAAGTTAGTGTTAGTTCATCCGTTTTTGCGTTATTAATAACATATTTTTTCCCACATAAGTGTAGAAAAGAAAGATAATGTATACAATTCTTGTTTGTTTTAAAACTGTAAATATGGTACTTACAAATCCATAGTCTCGAATGTATTATTTCCAACACTGAATGACACCTGCTTCCTCTTCTTCTTTTTTTCTTCCACAAAATTATGAATTTTAAGCTACAAAATTCTTTTCATAGGTAATTTTTGTAAACAGAAACTTTTTTATTTAATATTTTATGCACATTATTAACGTATCATAATTTTTTTTTAAAAAAACAATTGAGAATTTAATTTTAATTCGCTAAAGATAGGAAAAATGACATGTCATTGAAACACAGCATTGTTTTCATACTCTATATGCCATTTCCAAACAATTACAGAGTATAGTCGATTTGA